CCTCCCCATTGTCCCCAGAATCGGTGCTGGTGTTGTCTTCCTCGATCAGCCTTCCATTTCGCTGTTTTTCAGCTAGCATACTCTGGAGGTTCATGATCTCTCGATCATGTTGGAGTTCTCTCTGATAGAGGATCAGGGCTAACTTAGCCAAGTGAACCTGGATTGGTTTTGTACCATCCGGGTTTTCTATTTGATCAATTACAGCGTCAAGCTGTTCTTCAGTGAAATCCCTAGAAGGGTAGTCGGGTTCTCGAGCAACCGCGACCAGTTTGGACAATATTTGTCCAGAAAGTAGGCCAGGTTCACATTTGTGGGCCGCAGCGCCACCTGGTTGCTGGGAGTTGGTCAGTTCACTACTCTGTCCCTCCATTTTAACAACCGAACCAAAAATAGCCTAGTAGAGCTTCTGCAGATAGCTCAAAACTGCACCTTTTGGCAGCAACTGCTAGCTTTGTAGCAGAAAACACTAAATTAACCTTTGTGCGCACAGGTTTTAGCGTTTTAAGATTGCACGGAATGCCGTGACTGATGCTTAAAATACTATTCCTTTCAGTATTTTAGCAAAAGCTGGTGCGTTGCCGTAGCAACGTCTTACAACACTTGTGGTGTTAAATATGCTAGTTATTCCTTCAGAATATTAGCAAACAGGGTGTTATCAGTCTTTGAGTGAAGGTTTCAGTTAGTTACAATAGCCACTGTGAGTTAAAGTTGCTAAATTAGCAGTTAATTTTAGCCTAAAAGGGTTAGTCAGAATCACTTACATACTGCACCTTTAATGAGGAACTGAATTTTAACCTAAAAGGTTAGCCAGAATTAATTACACGTTGCACCTTTAAGGAAAAACTGAATTTTAATGTAAAAGGTCAACCAGAATTAATTTACACATTGCACCTTTAAAGAAGCACTGAGTTACTGGTGAGAGTTCGATGCAGCTTCCTGCTCAGCGAAATCAGCACCACTCTGTTGCTGGTTCAAGGCTGAACAACTGATTATTTTTAATTCAAGCTCTTTGGATTTATTTGTTTGTTTGTGCCGGATAGAAATCTCTGTGTATCCAAGCCTCACACGGGCTGCACCAATTAACGTTGGGGTTATTCGGTAGTGAACAATTAGTAAGCGTTAACTTACTTTTGGATTCTTCAATAAATTCTGTAAATATGGGAATATTTACTGATTTATTAATTAATTAAGATATTCTTAGATATCTCCGGGGCACCACCCTTTAATTAGAAAGGGAAATGAATCCAAAACCTTATCAGTCTTTCTTGAAGTTCGTATAATCCTTGGAGCAGAGACTTCTCTTCGACACAACAAAGCTACTGGACACAAAAATCTGAATTTTATAACATTTAATTAAACAATTTGTCAAATGAATAAACAATGAAATAAATGAATAATAACCGTGTGATATGATTGAAGATGGATGTGTTTGCGTGTGATGGAGGATGTATGAATGGGGTTCTTTGTTCTCACAAAGGAGTAGTGTGTGTGTGTGTGTATCTGTGTGTGTGTGTATGGATTCAAAATGGAGTCTTGAATACAAGATGGCTGACCCCTTTGTCTGGCTAAAGTGTGGGTGGCAACTTGCACTTTAACTTCCAAAGCACTTAGAATCAGTAGTAACTTAACCTTAAATCACTCAAAACATTTCAAAGGATCATGAAACAACACAAAAGATTAATCACAAATTATATCTTTTTAGTTTAACTGCTTGGCCGTAGCAGAAAACATTTAAAGATACCAAACAATGATCAATAAGCAGTTTATTCTTTCAAAATGACCTGACGGACATATTGGGAGCGAAAGAGGAAAACACGTCTGGTAATTTGAAGCAATAGCGCGATTTTATTGCTTATTCTGGACTATAGAGGAAACGGAAGAAGGAGAGAGAGAAATGAGTTTCTGATCACCAGAAGAGCGATGCGTCCCTCCCTCTTTGATTTGACTGTTCTCCGTGTTTCTCCGCAGCTTTCGGCGTCGTCCGTCGGTTTGATGCTTTCTCCGTTGTTTGGCGTTCTCCGTGAGTGTTTCTCCACGGGCTGGACACAAAGAGAACGAAGTTTCTTTTGTGCTGAGTTTGACAACTTACAGCGTCTCTGAGAGCTGGATGGAGCTCTGCTCGTTCCCAGTCAGGTCCTGATGGAGTTGGAGTGGCTTTCCAGCGGTTGCGTGGCTCAACTTGGGCACTTAGAGTTTCCGCGTGCTCAAGGGAGTCGGAGCGTTCGACAAGCGTGTCCTTACCGCCAGGTATCCTGGGCAAAAGAACGAGGTTCCTTTGTCTTTCCTGATGATTTATAGTCTGAGTTCGCGGGAAAGCTCCGTGACTCCCGCACATGCACAGAATGTGTTTCTGGTATTAGGCGGTGACGTCATCACAATGCTTCCGTGTGCAAAGCATCATGGGAAATGAAGTTTCTTGGCGCTGATGTGATTATTTGTTTTTCAGAGCAATTTAAGCACAGTCATTTTGGAGAAAATCACTGCATAGTAATTTCCTCATGAGGTCAGACCCTCAACAATTGTAATGTAATGAATTACTTTAAAATGAGGGTAACAAGTAATAAATAATGCATTACAGTTTTGAAGTAACTTGCCCAACACTGTTTATTAGCACAAAAAAAAGTAGATATGGGGTGACTTGCTCTTTAATGTTGGCTTTCTCATGGTGAGTTTATTCCCAAAAGCATCAAAATAAATATCTGCTTTTAAAATAAATAGAATTTGTGCAGATATGATCTTATTGTTTTAGTCAACAGAGAGCTGCATAAGATTCTGAACGCTCCCTTAAACCCGTTATACAACAACATGTTAATGCTACAAACAGGTAAACAAAACTGTTTCTGTGTTTAAAAAAGTATGAAAGCATGAACAACATGTTAAGTCATCAGAAAAGTTCTCTTTTGTTTTCAATTTTCTCCTCTTTGGAAAATCTCCAGATTTATCGCCCACGTCATGTTTCTCTGCTCTTCATCTCTGAGTTGTCATCATCTTGTCTGGGCGGCTTTGTTAAGGTGAAATCATTCCAGCGATGCTGATTAGAACAGACCATCTTCCTGTTTTACTCTCTGATTGCGTTCCAGTCTTCGCTCGTCTGTGTGTCCAAACACTTTTCTTTGTTACTAATCATTTCTGTCCTACAAAGGAGCATTTATACTACTTCAAACCAAACATACCTTTAAGAGTTCTGAGGGACTAAATGTTGAGTCTTTTTCTTTACATCTCTGGTCTGATTGAGAGGGCAAACAAGGGCCACGCTCATCAGCACTGACATCCATCTTTTGTGTTAGGACAGTTTTGAAATTGTTTACAATTAGCTCTAATTGAAAACCTTTTTATGTCACAGAATGAGATCAAGGAGAGGATGTGTTGAGTATAAATATGTTCGGCTCCTAAAACTGATGTCTGTCATGCACAAACAAAATAACTCAAGACAGTGTTTACTCTAGTTTAGTTTGTCAAGAATATTCCTTCTTTTACATGAAGGCCACAGAACTGCATATTGTCTTACTGCAATGTAATTATGTTTTTATTTTATTGTTGTTTTTTTTGAGTGTCATTGGAAGTTAAAGATGATTTAAGAAGTTCTGGAACAAAATGTTAAACTAAAGATTCAAGCTCTGTCCACATCAACGTTGTGAATCAATTTTATTTCCTTTTGATTTTATAAACTTGACAATTACCAGCAAAGCTGTCATTTGAGACAGTTCTGACTCATAGAAGAGCAGCTTATGAATCAATGATTTTTGTTGTTTTGGTGGTTTATAACGGCTCAGCCACTAAGTGGGAAGGCAACACATTTTTCTTCCAGTTTCCTCGCAGCTGTTGTTGTTTGTTCTCAGACTTGGCCGACACGCTGCATGTTTCATAGGACACTTCCGGACAGTGTCTGCTTCCTGTCAGGCTTCGAACCGTCAGTCATGGTTTCAGACGGCGGTTGCCGACGCCATCCTGGGGCCAAGTGTGGCGGTCACAGAGACGTGGGCAGATGGGTCTGCTTTCAGGTCTTAGGAGATCCACGCAGCTGAGTCCCTGTCTTTAAGGGAAAACTGCTCAGACTCTGTTGCAGATGTTAATGAAAAACAAATGTTTCAAACTGAAAAAGTTTGAGAAAAAGAGTCGGAGAGAAGGGCTTAATTTCTTCAGCGGCTTTGGAGGAGAGTGCAAGAATAACAAAAAATAAAGAACGTGACTCAGATGTGATCACATGAAGGAAAAGAAAAGAAAAAATGGCCCAAATGACTGAATCAGTGGGTTTTCCATGCACCTAAATTTGTTTTTGATGTTCTCAATCCTAATTTTCTAAACATGAGTCACAAAAGAAGCCTTTACAACATTCCGTCATGCAAAATATTTTAGCACGTTGTGAACCCCGAGACTCTCTGACGTTAGATTTCCCCCAGTTCCTCAGCAGCAAATCAACAAGTCAAAACAATGTGAATAATTTCAACACCTACAGCGTGATGAAATGCATATCGAGGTGTTGACTGCTTCTCTTGATGATTGTGTGTACAGCAACACCTCAGCCCCAACACCACAGACCCCTGGGCTCTGTTTGTCTTTAAACATTTACTTTCAAAGGATTAATGCTCGTGGGCGCCAGGTCCTCGCGCCGAGACTAAAAGGCGACACAAGGAATTCAAACACAGGAGTTCAAACACAGATCTTTGCACCTTTGACAGATTTCTAAGGCCTTCATTTTTTTTTTTCGTTTAGCATGCTGATCCTTGCATGCTATCTTGAAGCTGATGGTAACTTGCAGAATACGGCTCCTAATGTGGGAGAATTTTAACCTTCCTTTGGCTCAGTGAGCAGGCTCAGAAAAAAAACATCCTTTCTGGGTTTGTGTGCTAAAAAGTCTGTAAACTAGTACTCGTGAAGGATGATTTCTGTTTGTGCTGTTGTGATTTGTTAATGGTGTCCGCTGAATGTAAGGATATGTCGAGACTTGTCTCAGTGTTTATATTAACATTAACCATATCACCCTTGTCGTCTTTCCACAG